GATTGAATTGAGAAAAGATAAAGAAGAAGATGAATTTCAAATGCAAGGATATAGACCTGCTCTGATACCATGATAAAATCAAGCACATAAACGAGATTGAGCTGGAATTAATAAACTGAAATGCAGGAAGAAAAACAAAGGACAGAAAAACGGGATGATAGACCTGCTCTTAATGAGCAGGGAAGAAGATGAAATTCATTCATACTTGCTTAGGGAAATTACAAGGCAACTAATCTATTTATAGAGAAAAACTAACAACCTATCTAACAAGATAACAAACTAAGAACAATCTAGAATAAGCTAGAATTTGTAAGAGGAAGGATCTGNTTAGAACAAACTAGAATAATCTAGAATCTATAAGAAGAAGGATCTGAATTCTGGACTGGTTTGCTGAGTTGCTGGTTTGCTGTTGAGCTGCTGGTTAACACGTGATTGTTGGTGAACTGATTGGTTGAGTTATTTTGCTGTTTGGCTGCTTGAACTGGAGACATGAGTTTAGTATTCCAACATCTTTATTCGAGGGGAATTTTATCTCTTTAACATCTACCTAGGTAGATATGGCTTAATACTAGAATCAAATCACTTTAAACAAGTTCAATACAAATGTATAAATCACATAGATTTCTGCTTTCTCTTGTCTCACAGAAAGTTCTATAAAACAGTATTCACCATGGTAAACATAAACTCCCTTTGTCTACACAAATGTACAAACGAAATGCACTAAAAATTTTAGTAGAAAGAAAAATGAACTTTTAAGAACGGGACGGAACAAATCTGCACACGTAGTGTGCTAAGAAAATGAGTGTTAAGTCCCTTTTAAACAACACTCCAATTTTGCCCTCCATCCAGTGGCGGAGGGACCGTCATATGTACAGACGAGATTGAATCTTGAACCACAACTTAACTACTTAAGTGGCACTTCCAACATACGATTTCTGGTCAAGCCCTGAAGGTCAACTTGAGGAATTTCCAACAATACGAAAATGAAAAAAAGAGAGCATAAACTTCTGGACAAAAGTGAACTAATTTTCGAGTAACATCAAAACTTTCCAACAATAGATACTGAGGGAAAATAAATTATGAGTTCAGAATTTCAGGAAGATAAGTATTTTCTTTGCAAATGACATGTAATAACGCCGCAGTCTTCCTCGTCAAAGCTTGGGAACTGAATGAACTCGACCACAGAGTTCCCCGAGTACAAGTTTAGAAAAATGGTCGAGTTGAGCAAGTATTTTCTTTGCAAATGACATGTAATAACGCCGCAGTCTTCCTCATCAAAGCTTGGAAACTGAATGAACTCGACCACAGAGTTCCCCGAGTACAAGTTTGGAAAAATGAGCGAGTATTAGCATGCCCAACAAAATGGTCAAGTTGAAGGGCTCTTTACCAGAAAATATGGATTTGACCAAGAAAGACGTCGTGGATGGGATGTAATAATCTTTGGAACCGGCCTTTATAATTGAAAACATCATAGGAGCAATGCATAGCCAGAGCAATGGTGGTAAGTTGAAGAAATCAGAATGCAGACCGTATAAAACTGAATAATGATTATTTTGCCATGTTTTTAATGTTCTCGGTTTTGCATTTTCCCTCTTCTTATATTACGTCGCGTGAGTTCTCTAATTGGTACGTTGTAAGGTGAAACATAAACGTGCCCACGGTGACTCTCAATGTAGTTGCTTGAACACTTTTCCCTATTTTTTAACATGACGTTGCCATATCCAAGGCACAAGCCATTATCCATTAGGATTCGAATTTCTAACAGAAAATGATCAATCAAAATTAGAGCCTATTTGAGCTCCAATTTTTTATTTTTTTTATTATTATTTTTTTTTTTGTGTATAATGCATTTTGGAATAGTAGATTGATGGAGAATATGTGATTAAAAAATAAGATTTTTTTTTTTGAATTTGCGTGTAATATAAATTTATTGAATAAAGTGTGGTTTAAATAAAAAAGAGAAAAAAATGTATTTTGAAAATAATGAGATCAAAAAAGGGCTTAGCTTCATTTTTAGGACTATATTATCAAAGAAATTAATTTAATAAGAAGAAAAGCACTAATTATAGACAATCTTGGATTCATTTTATAAAAAAAGTTATTGGCTAAGGATAAAATTTTCTGTGAGAGTGAAAAACTTAAAAAATTTAAGTAATACATAATAATTGAATTTTAAATAAAAAATTTATTGAATCTAAATAGGCAGTAAAAGTTGGGGAGTAAAATTGAGGAGTAATGCTATTCATCCCCATTGGGGATGAAAATACAGTTTACGTGACGTTAATGTGCTATTAAATGATATGTGAAATTAAATAAGTAATTTAATTTCATCTCTCATTTAACNTGCCATTAAATGATAGGTGAAATTAAATAAATCATTTAATTTCACCTTTCATTTAACCTATCAAAATATTTGTAGATTTGAGTGATATGGAGTAAGATTTGAGTAGAAACATGAGTATGCTCTGCAGTTGCACCTTTATGATGAACCTCTGCATCAGAAAACTTTATAATCCGTCAGGGGTTACAGTAATTCACAGCAAAGTCCGAGAGTCAGGCCCTTTGTTGAAGCCTGTTGAAGTGTTGTTTGGGCTAGAATACCGTGACTTTGCTGTAGGTTGCTGTCACTCCGCCATTTTGGTATCAGGGTTATTTAGCTACAAAATGAATGAGTTGAACAAAAGGGTAAATTCCACCGATGGTCCCCAACCTTTCACAAGTATAGCAATTATGTCCCCAATCTACCATTTCTTGCACTCATGTCGTCATTTGGCACCCATATCCTAGATAACCAAAAATATTTATTTAAACATCAAATGACTACATGATATTCACGTAATGTAGTACAGAAATGGGGAACTTGTAAATTCCCTTTATTCCAAAACAATTGGAAACTTCGACTTTCATTAAAAATCCCAGCCAGGTAAAATTCCTTCGTGTTCATGAAATCTACTCCTGTCTTTAATATGTCCTCCATATCACGTAAGTGGCACATGATTATTAACCATTTAAATAAAAAAAATTTGTTAGTTGGGTCGTGAGTGCCATAATGTTAAATGATAGGGAACATAATCGTAACAAATGATAAGTTGGAGATACTATGTTGGATACACCGAATCCCAGTGCAATTTATCGAGGAAAAAAAAAAGTCAAAACCAATTTTTATTTTTGACAGCAAATTGACATAAAAATTGATCCTGTTTGATGGCCATTTTTCGTAGAAAATGAAGTTTTGAATAGTAATTTTTTGGAGAATGATTAGATAAAAAAAAGTAGACAATAATTTTGAGTTTACGTGCAAAATATTTTATTATATAAATGTGTGGTTAAAAATGAGTATGAAAATTAAAGAATTTTAAAATATTGATCGTATGTGGCTAACTTTCTCTTCTTTTCTTTTCTTACCCTTCTTCTTTCCTTATTGTTATTAATTTTTTTCTCCTTATAAATCTATAATATATTAAGAGTGTGTTTGGTAAAGATTTTTGGGGGAAGAATTAATTTTTGAATAGTGATATGATGAGAAATGTGTGGTTGAAAAAGAAGAAAAAAGTATTGATGTGATGAAAAATATTATTTTATTGAAGAATGTGTGGTTGAAAATGAAAATTGATTTACTATAGAAAATGAGAATCTGTACCAAACATGCTCTAAATATCACATCAAGTGAAAATTATTTTTTGAACGATTATAACCCCCACTACAATTCAGTTGTTTCAATAATATCTTACTTTTCATTTTTTAATATGTGTTTAATTTACAAAATGTAATAAATATTATAATTAATTCTTAATTAATATTAATTAGAATTTCACTTTCACATTCACATGTACGTCCATATTCCTATTATTAATTCTCAATTAAATAACATTTACATTTACATTTACATTAATTAATGTTAATTAGAATTTCGCATTCAATAATGCAATTCATTATTCATGTACATGTATATTAATTAGCATCTAATTTCACTTAATTAAAAAATAAATTATACTAATTTAATATAAATAATTTAACATTCTTTAGTATTAATTAACATTCATGTATCGTATTTGTCATTCATCTTGATTTATGTATTTAATTATAATTCTAATACTCACGTTCAAATATATATTTCAATATTTTCATGCATATATAATAAACATTCCAGGACTTGTATTTCTTTTATATTTAAATATTGAGATAACATACGGTCGNAAACACACACACACACACACGCGCATTTCCATTCAATTCCCCCGTCCCGTGAACTCCGTCTCCATTTTTTTGCCATTACGAAAAAGCTTGGATTCAATTAAGCCGATATAAATGTGATTTCAAATTGGCACTGATTGAAAGAAGATTGGAGAGGAACCGTTCACCCCTCTTTCTACTATCTCTTTCCTGTGAGTTCTATTACTTGTGATGTGATTCTATCGATAAATATCTATTAATTTTCTCGATTACATGTACCCTTTATGTTTTCTGCCAATCCAGAGATTTCTTGTAGTATATCTTAATGTTTACTTCTAACGGTACCCGTGAATTCCTCAAAAAAATCCGACCTTGCTTTGGTTTGCTGATTAGTACTACCAAGCCTTTTAGCTCTGAAAGAATTATTAAACAGAAAAAACTCGTCAAGAAAACCCATAAAAATAATAAGAAATCTCCGAAATTATCGGTCAGGAAAGAAAATGTAGAGCCTAAAGTTTATATGAGGGACATGATTGCAAAAATATACAATGTTTTGAAGTATTCTACTTGGGATTCTGCTCAAGAGCAGTTGGAAAATCTCTCTATTAAATGGGATTCTTACACGGTCAACCAAGTTCTCAAGACTCATCCTCCAATGGAAAAGGCATGGCTGTTTTTCAATTGGGCTTCAGGGAGGAAAAACTTTAAACACGATCAATATACTTATACTACAATGCTGGATATTTTTGGGGAAGCTAGGAGGATTTCATCAATGAAGTATGTCTTTCAACAAATGCAAGAGAAAGGGATTAAGATTGATGTAGTTACTTACACTTCTCTATTGCATTGGATGTCCAATGATGGGGATGTTGATGGGGCGGTTAAGTTGTGGGAGGAGATGAAACTTAAAGGGTGTCATCCAACAGTTGTATCATACACTGCTTACATGAAGATTTTGTTTGATCACAAAAGAGTGAAGGAGGCCACTGAGGTGTACAAGGAAATGCTTCAATCTGGCTTGTCCCCCAATTGTTACACATACACAGTCTTAATGGAGCATCTTGCTCGCTCTGGTAAGGGAGATTACTTTTTGTGCTTGCTTAACTTTCTTCTTTATCAATTTTTGTTTCTGTCATTTGTATCTTTGTTAATCATGGTTAGGATGCGTGCTTATAGCTCTCGAATTTATTGTAAACTTCCAACTCTTTGAATCTTTAACTGTTCCATTCTTGAGGGTAACTTGTTTTCCTATAGCTCCATGATGCCACTAGAATTGGATGCAGAAAAGAGAGGAAATCATGAGAAATGTGAAGGCAATGCTATCTTTGGTTGAAATGAAAGGAACAGAGCAAAGAGTGCATGAGTTGGGACCAGCTTATTCCTATGTTAATAAAATGTATAAGTGGACTGTTCTTTAAGAACTTCTGAAGCACTCATTTTCCATCCAACTGATGGGCCGCAAATAAATAGAGAATTTTGGGATTTTTTTTGTAATCACCAAAGGTTAAAGTATGTAGTGAAACTGATATACATTGTTTACAAGAGTCTCTATATTCCAATTTCAAACTCCTTTTAAAGCTAAGAAGTTTGATGACCTTTTAGCATCTCATAAACTTTGAAAACTCCATTCTTTTTGTTTCTTCTGAATGCTTTATAACATTTTCAATGTGCATTTTTAAATATTATATCCCCGATTCATTCTGTTGCTAAAATGAGAAACAGTTAGATTCATACTTTACTGGGTGTTTGTTTTTTATTTGAGAATTGATTCTCAAATCAATTCTCATTTTCAACAACACATTCTTCAATAAAATAATATTTTCCATCACATCAATAATTTTTTCTTCTTTTATAACCACACATTTCCACAAATCAATTCTCATTTTCAACGACACATTTTTCAATAAAATAATATTTTCCATCACATCAATAATTTTTTCTTCTTTTTCAACCACACATTTCCCATCATATCACTATTCAAAAATCAATTATTCCTCCAAAAATCCCTACCAAACAAGCCCTTAATTACACAATCTGTGTCATCTATATACTTGAAAATGAGCGAAATCATTTGAGGCCATATGGGTTCAGCTACGAATGGAAACACCCTTCATATGAAAACAATAGTATATGTCTTTCTTTTGCACCACCTTACTGAAGCCATATGCACTAAAACAAATTTAGCCCCTATTTGGTTTAGCTAAAAGTCAAATTTTTAGTAGATTTTGATAAAAAAGGATGAAATGTGCGGTTGAAAATGAGTTTGACGGAAAATGAGCTTTAGAAAATGGGGGCCAAATAGGGGCTTAGAGTTTAGTTCTGAGGAGGAAGTTTATTTTATAATATAGAAGTCTTGTTGTCATAGGGATACAACAATATGCTATAATTTGCAGATATAAAGTTGACTAAAACTGTTGCATGTAGCTTTCGTTTGACTTCCAAAGTTGTATGATGTAGTAATTTGTTTATGAGTATTTTCTCCAAATGAATTTCAGGAAAATTTGATGAAGCTCTGGAGGTATTTAACAAAATGCAAGAGGCTGGCGTACAACCTGACAAAGCTACTTGCAATATTTTGGTTGAGATATGCTGCAGAACTGGGGAGACATGGGCAATGTTGAAAATTCTTCAATACATGAAGGAAAATTTCCTTGTCCTACGGTATCCTGTATATCAAAAAGCACTTGAAACTTTTAAAATGGCTGGTGAAAGTTATGAGATTCTTAGGCAAGTTAATCGGCACTTTGTTATAGAACATTTCAAAGAGGAAAAGACTGATAAATTTGGTGAAACTGCTAGGGTTAACTGTTCCAATGTGGATAGTGGATTTGTGTTGAATTTAATCAATAAGCAGAATCTTGTTGCTGTCGACTATTTACTTGCTGACATGATGGACAAGGGTGTGCGATTAGACTCTAAGATAATCTCAACAATTATTGAGCTAAACAGTACTAATGGTAGACGGAATAGTGCTTTATTTGCATTTGAATATGGTGTGAAGTTTGGGTTAAATATTGATAGAATTGCATATATTGCCTTAATAGGCTTATCCATAAGAACAAATTCATTTTCAAAGGCTGTGGAGATTGTTGAGGAAATGGTTAGGGAAGGTCATTCTCTCGGAACACAACAAAGTGCTCTTCTTATATATCATCTTGGCTGCAACAGAGATCCTGTTTCTGCTGCAAAAATATTTAGTGTATTGCCTGATGGAGAGAAAAACACTGCTACTTATACTGCCCTAATTGGTGCCTACTTCTCTTCTGGGAATGTTAACAAGGGATTTGAAACCCTCCAAATTATGAAAAATGAAGGCATTAATGTTGCATTAGGAACATATTACGTTTTAGTTGATGGTCTTGAAAAATGTGGTAGAGTTTTTGAGTTAGAGTTTTATTGGAAGGAAATGAAGAGAATGCAAGCTAAGAGCAATTTGCAAACTGTTTCAATAGAGGAAACCATATGTAATTTCCTTTTTGCTGGAGATTCTGTGGTTCGACTTACTAGATAGGTCGGTTCTTAGGCATGGTTTCTACAATCTACAGGATGTGGCAGTGCAAATTACATATTTGATTATATGCCCTGGATTGGGCTCATTGCCCCTCATATTAAGTCTCATCAATTAGCTTAGATGCTTGAGGAAGCTCGTAAAAAGTGGTGCTCGATTCTACTGTTTTGCATGTTGTACTTTTTTGCTTCGAAGGTGTTCTTGAATCTTGATGCTATATATTTCTACAGCACAGATGGCAGTTTCCACATAATGTAGCTGAATTATAGTTTGGGCAGTGGCTACTAATTTGCCATTCAGGTAAAATTTTGCTCTCTTCGTATTTTAGAAAAGTGCCTCAGTAATTTAGGAGGATATAAGGTACTGTCTTTACTTTTCTTTTTCTATAGACAGAAAGAATTTATTGATATGAGGAGAAAGATACACCTGGAGCAGATGAGTAGTCAAAGTAAAAGTAAAGCTATAGCTAAAGCTAAAGCTAAAGGAGGATTCAAGAGATATCTGGGATCTGTTCTTAAAATGCTATGGTTTTGGTCAATTAAATAGACCAAGTGACACCCTCGTTTTAGCTTCAGGAAATTTTACTATCCTTATTGCCTCCTTAGCCCTGGAATCTATAGCTTTTTATGAAAGTACTCCTTCTAGTAGGTTTGTGATTTAAGATATGTTTGTATGAATTTCGTCGAGTGCATGCTTTCTACTGTGGATAGCGAAAACTAGACACTGGCAACGAACATTATCATGCCATCCTGCTTTGTTTATGGATTAAATCCAGTTTGCAAGAGTTGCTCCAAAAGGTCTCTCTTTGTTTATGGATTAAATCCAGCTTGATTCTCATTTTAAAAAAAAATACATCTCTCTCTTTTCAACCACACGATCTTCAATAAAATAATATTACACGTAAATTCAGAATTTTTCCTTATTTTTAAATACACATTCTCCAACAAATCACTATTCTAATATGTATTTTTTTATTTCACAAAAATGGGCATCAAATGAGCGTCTAATATTTTATTGCTATCGACGGCCAACGACCTTCCGTGACTTAAAACCCTGGATCTGCCACTGGGTGTTTGGCCCATGCCTGGCATTAATAAATCATGTAGGATTTTTCGTTTGTCATGTCAACAACATGTTTAACGAAATTCACGACAATGATGGACGGATGTAACATTTTATAGTTTAGTGTCCATAGGAAAACAAATTGAAGTTTAATAATGTTCTAATAATATAGGCAAAAGTTCAGACCAATGCAATAATTAACCAATCACTTTTCTCAATTACATGACTTGCTGTCTGGCACTGCATTACTCTGTCAATATATTGAAGAGAATTATCCACTTATCTATCAACTTGATTCTAATCTACCTGTTCAAAGAATATCTGCTGCGACGATAGATTGCTCACGATTGTGAAATATGTTTCTAGGTTAGTTTCAGGACTATAATTCTTAATTTTCTTCCAAGCGCTAACAAGTTCCTTCGAAAGGGAAAGGTCTACATACAAAAGAAGATGCTACGTTACAGAAGCAAAATTGTGTTGAAAACAATGGTGTTTCTCCCTTCGCCTTCGCCATTACAATTGTGTATTAAATCTACATAACAAGAGGCACTGATGGATGGAACAATAATTGACCTGTTTTTCCAGCAGAGTCTAGTCTCAAATTTTGAATAATAAGCATGTATGTTTAAAACTTTACAGTTATTCAACCTACAAACATTTCTGATGTTAAATGTAAAATGCCCGAATTAAGGGGTGATAACTATAAGGTGTGGAAGGAGAGAGTTCTTCTCTATTTGGGATGGATGGATATTGACTATGCTATAACGAAAGACGAACCACCTGCCATCACTGAAACCAGCACTCCAGATGCAGTTGATCTTTATGAAAAGTGGGAGCGACCCAATCGCCTCTCCGTAATGTTCATAAAGATCAAGATTTCTGCTGGTATCCGTGGTTCCGTCGAGCAGCATGATAAGGTCAAACCACTTCTGAAAGCCATCGATGAGCAGTTTGCGACATCTGATAAAGCTCTTGCCAGCACCTTAATAATGCAGTTCTCATCCATAAGGCTCACCGGGACTAGAGGCGTGCGTGATCATATCATGCGCAAGAGGGACATAGCGGCTCAGCTTAAAACATTGAAAGTTGAGATGTCGGAATCTTTCATAGTTCACTACATTCTGTGCACTCTGCCCCAGCAGTACGGTCCCTTAAAAATCTCTTACAATACACATAAAGACAAGTGGTCAATTAATGAGCTGTTGACCATGGGTGTCCAAGAGGAAGGAAGATTGGGAATGGAAGATGGCGAAAATGTGAACTTTACTATTGAAGGAAAGAAGAAAAAGGATCAAGCATTCCTGCTCAACTAGACATAAAGAAGGAGTCAAAGTGCTTCTTCTGCAAGAAGAAAGGGCACATGGAGAAATATTGCTCAAAATTTAAGAACTGGCTCGACAAGAAAGGTACTCAATTTTCATTTGTTTGTTATGAATCTAAGGTGTGTTTGAAACCCATTTTTTGAAGATAAAAATTTTTAGAATAATGATTGATGGAAGAATGTGTGGTGGAAAAGTTATGAAAAGTTTTAGATTTGTGTGTAATATTATTTTATTGAAAGAATATGTAGTTGAAATGAAGTAAGAGAAAAAAATGAGAATGAGAATGAGATAGAAAATGGATGCCAATCATGGGCCTAATATGGTTAATGTTAATCATAACACATGGTGGATTTATTCTGAATCAACAATCCACATTTTAAATTTCTTGCAGGGTTTGCAAAACCTAAGGAGGCTAGTGAGAAGTGAGCATAACATCTTATCAGGAAACAAGATGGGCTCACATGTAGAAGCTATAGGAACTTGTTATTTAATTTTAAGTAGTGGCTTTGTTTTAAAGTTAGAAAAGACATTTTATGTTTCAAGTTTTTCTAGAAACTTGATTTCAGTTTCAAGGCTTGTATCTTTTGAATATTCCTTTAATTTCACAGATTTATCTTTCAGTTTATTTTATAAATCTGATTGTGTTGGGAATGGTGCTTTGTCTGATGGTCTTTACTGCATTAATTTACAAAACAATGCCGCTTATGATTCTATGCATGTTGCTGTTGACATAAAACGATGTGTTGTGAATGAGAAATCCTCTATGTTATGGCATCGGAGATTGGGACACATCTCCATTGATAGAATTAAAGGATTGGTAAATGAAGGGGTACTTAGTACTTTGGATTTTGCTGATTTTGAGACTTGTTTGGATTGCATAAAGGGTAAGAAAACTAACAAGTCTAAAAAGAGTGCAAAGAGGATCACAAACCTATTGGAAATCATACACACAGATATTTGCTGTCCAGACATGAACACAAATGATTCGAAATATTTCATCACCTTCATAGACGATTATTCACGATATATGTATCTCTACTTACTTCGTTCCAAGAACGAAGCTTTTGATGCCTTTAAAGTTTTTAAGGCTGAAGTGGAGAATCAATGTGGAAAGCAAATTAAGATCGTGAGGTCAGATAGAGGTGGAGAAGTTTCTTCAGGAACATAGACCAGGTAACATCGAAAGACATAAGGCAAGACTTGTTGCCAATGTATTCACTCAGAGGGAAGGAATCGACTACACAGAGACATTTTCTCGTGTATCTAAGAAAGATTCTCTTCAAATAATTATGGCATTGGTAGCTCATTTTGATTTTTATTTACATCAAATGGATGTGAAAATGGCATTCCTCAAGGATCATGTAGTGAATATGGGACTTGGTTCCATTGTGTAATTTTTTATTGTATGAACAATGTTATTTTAATGAAATTCTTAATTATTTTGATGTTTTTCTCATATTGATGTGCACATTAATTTAATTTTGAGAAAATTCATCTATGTTGGACCAAGAATAAACATATGGTTTATTCATTAAGAAATTGTTTCCACATAAATTATAATGTTTAAGAAGTAAATACATAGTAATACATGGAAGGTAATACTCGTCACTAGAGGACATTTCACCATGATTCATGTATTTATTACTTAAATACAGATCATCGATGGGTTTAAGATGAAACATAAGATAAGAAGTGTGGATCAAGTGGGAGAATGTTGATTGTTTCTCATGTAAAGTGGTCCACTATGTTCGTATGAAACTACCCTATGATCCACTCCGTTTGGAACTGCGGAAGGTAACCGCTGAAACTTGATGGAAGTTTTAACAATTTTGGCTATAAATACTATGTTTGGTCCCTGGAATCAATCACTCAATCCCCTTCAGTTTTACACCATCTAATAGAGTGAGTAGAGTTTGGAAGTGTCGAACATCACTGAGAAAGCGTAGCAAAATTTGTGAGGAACACCAATAGCTGGAAGTTCTGTTTTCTTGGTATTGAGAACTTTCGATTATGTTATAAAGTAATTATTCCACATTAGAGAATCGTCTATTATTTCTTACACAATTTACACACCAAAAACACAACATTGGGTTTTTGAAAATACCATTTTTAGCTTAACTGTCACTTGATGAACACGGTTTGAAAAACTTCGTACTCCAGCCAGCCATGGCATGTTGACTTGAGTCTTTGGATATTGTTCACAAATTTTCCATCCATGTGCTGCTTCAAATTTGGTATCTGGCTATTTAACTGCATAAATGAAAGACAAATTAATAGGATAATGATATGCCATGAAACATTAAATATAAATGATGGTAAACATTTTCTTCCAAGTAATGATCGTATGGATCCGACCACTTGTCAAATTAATTATCATAGATTATAATTTGCATTCATGCCGCCATTATTTGATTTCACTCGCAACAAAGAAGATGCAACTTCATTTTTTCGTATAAAGAAGATCTGATACCATTCTTTGTATTTTCTTTTTCATATTCCGTCAAGAAAAAAAATTAAAACCAGTATTCAACATGGAAAAACTAGAAAAATATATACTTTCTCACCACATGGGATTTCAAGAAGTCTCCTGCTAGAAACAGAAAAATTGTTCAGATAAAAAAATAAATTAAGTTGTTTTCTTGTCCAAGGAAAAATGAAAAGAAAAAAAAAAAAAAAGAATGAAATGAGCTTTAACTTAATTGTGTGTATACTAGCAGAGACTGATTTTCTGTTTACTTCAAGCCATGTATGATCACCTTAAGCGCTTCATTTCCGTTTTCCACTCGTTCTTTCTGAAAAGGCCCACAACACACGATATTAAAACAAGATTCCACCAAACATCAATCGATTAGAAAATAAACTTTCAGAAAATTAAAGATTGAACATAAAAAATTATTTCGACCTGATCCCCGGAGGTTCGGCGACCACATCTAACGCCTACATCTCCGTTGAGCATTCAAAGAATGGATATTTGCTCGGATGCACTATTTAGCCTAAAAATGACAACAAGTTACAAAACGTTCCTCCAACACGAGAAAAGTACAGAACATTTATCTCTTTAACAATAAACTACATATCTATAAGGAATCACTCAAAAAACTCTACAATCGCCTACTAAAATCGCGACTGCAAGAAAATCGTTATTCTCACAACAATCACTCA